TGGCGACAGCGTAGGCTGCAATGGGCTCCCGTAAGCTACCGTGAGCGGCCATCCAGTGGCCGGCTACTGATCTGCCTCACCCAAGAAGAGTGCAATGATAGTACCAACATGGGCCAGTGAAGCGACGTCCTCTACAACTAGACTGAAGAACAAAAGGACAGCAACTTGTCTCTTCCCCTTCCTAGATTCCCCGATGCTGTTCCTTTCCCCCCAATTCCCCAATAAAATCTTAAAAAAAAAAAAAGTTGTATCTGCCCAGATTCTCCTCCTAGATTCTGATTTAATGGGCCAAGAGGGCCTGGGAGTCTGTATTCTGAAATGGTCCCCCAGGCGATTAGTTCTGTTGAGAGTTAGTTTTCATGATAACTTGAAAACTTAGTGGGGTCTCCCAGCTCAGGATGACTGTAAAACTTTGCTACTGCAGAAGGTCCCCCATCCTACCTGTAGCTGATCCTGCTGCTGCGGTGTGGGGAGTGGAAGGACAGATTGGGATTGTGTGGGGCCCATCTGACCCCCTTATGCTTCTCTGCAGGAAGTTGGAGCTGCCACTTGTGTCTGGACCTGCTGAAGGAGAAAGCTTCGATCTACCAGAACCAGAACTCTTCTTGATGCGGTCACCTGCCCTGCTCCCCCCATACACCTAGGGCTGTTTCTCTCTTGTTTTTCATACCCGCCTTTCCCTTCCTCCTCTTTCACAAGTCCAGAGAACCTGGGGGTGGTCATGCCCACCTGCCTTTGGCAGCAGCAGGCTGAGGTGGCAGCTCTGACTGCCTCTGGCCCCAGGCCCTCAGGGAGAACGGACCAGCACACTGCCCCAAGGTGTACCTGTGGGCCCAGCTTCTCACGGCTCTTCATGAACTGCATTCACTCTGCCTGCCTTGGGCCCTGGCCCTGGTGACCACAGGGTTCCAACTGTGTCCTCAGAGAAAGAGTGGGGGTGAGAAAGAGTGGGGGTGCATCTCACTTCTCTCTCAGCTTTGCCTCCACTTTGGTCCCCCAGAGGTGGGCCAGGCAGAGGCTTCTTTACCAGGAGTAGCGGAGAGTGAGCGACTGAGCAAGCTGAGGTGCCGCTTGCAGGAGCTTTCCATGCCCTTCCTGCTGCTTCGCCTCACCGTCTCCTTCCTCCAGAGTGGCTGGCTCCCCACAGCCCTCTGTTCCTGCTACCCAGGATCCTTTGCCCAAGCTAGGATGCTCTTGGTCACCCTCTGGGCTCTGCCCTGTCCCACGCCAGGGGGAGTAGCAGCTTCACCCTGATTCTTCCTTGTGCTCGCCTGGCTCACTCTCACAGGTGGTCTCTAGTGACCACAGCATTCCCCACCCTTGGAATTTCCTGTCTCTGCCTCCCCTCCTTATTCCCTTAGATTTTGTGGGGAGAGGGGAAGCATCAGGGGGCCAGGCCAGCTGCTGCTTGGGGGTCACAGGGAGACGTTGGATAATGTGCCTGTTTTTTAACTCGATGAAAAAGCCTACCTCCGAAATCCCCATTTTGTTTTTCCTGGACCTGGGCGTTCAGCTCCTGCCCTTAACTGGGGCCTCTGCCTCCTGCTCTGTGAATCCTGGCTCCTGGGTCACAGGGAAGCCACATACATGTCCCTTTCTTCCCTTGCACGCTCGCTAGCAGCTGGTAAGGTCTTCACACCCTGATTCCTAAGTTTTCTGCCTGGTGACACTGACATTAAGTAGGAGGGACACTCCATGCCAGGACACCCTGGAGTGGCCTTCCCCTTGGCCATGGGCAGACCCTAATTCACTGTCACTTTAGAGCTTTTTTTTTTTTCTCTTCTTTCTACCTTTCTTCCTCCCTCCTCCTCTCTTCTCTCTCTCTCTCTCTCTCTCTCTGTCTCTCTCAAACCCCCTCCCCCATTCCTATATCTAAACATTAGTACAAATAAACGTTTTTACATAGAGCCCTCTGCTGGATGGTTTATCTCCTGACTCCCTTTCCTGGTTATGAAGGCCATTTCATCCTAAAACTTGCTTAGGACAGTGGTTTTTAAATATTTTGAAACAGAATTTCTCCTCCAAAAAATTAAATTTTTCACTGACCCCAAATCTGTAAAGCAGATATAAAATTGGGTACTTCGTTAGTTTTAATTTCTTACATAAAGTCAAGTTATAACAGTTGTTATAAAGAACAATGAAGTTTTGGTTAATACAAAATTTGGGTTTGTCAACTTTAGCATCCTATTTCTGTATTTTGGTTGACTTGGAGGAAATTCTGCTAGACTCATGCGAGTGGTGATAGGTTTGTAACAGTTGACCTTGCAATTTGAGATACTTAGAACAGGTCCAGGAGCTTGATTAGTATATAAATATAAAAGAATGACAGGAAAACAAGTGACATCATGATGGGACACATGGTGACGAGCATGAGGTGCAGAGACAGGGCAACACGGCTTGTGGGGGGTTCGTTGAGTGCAGTGTGCGTGAGCTCAGCCCGTAGTGCAGCCTCCATATGGTCACGTGCACAAAAATGAGTACTTTCCCTGCAGCCAACATTTTGACAGCTTTCATAATGGATCATACGCATCTCACTTGAGTGTGTTTTGAAGTTATTCAATTTTTTAAAGATTTGAATCAGTTAAGTACCCCCTGGAACCTCTAGGGTTTTCTGGAACAGTCTGAAAGCTCCTGTTACCTAATGGAAGGCAGTGGCCTGGGCCAGTACCTCCAGTAAGCAGAGTGCTCTGGTTTGGGGATTGTGTTGGGAACAGAACGCAGCCTCTGTCCTCATGCTTTTACATGGAAGTAGGCCAGGAGTAGAGGGAGTAAAGCAATGATAATCGGTGGCCAGAAAGGAAATGTGAAAAGAAAGAAATGTAAAAAATGAGAACGCTGCAGCAGGCCTAAGTGAGAAGAAACTAGGAAAGGGTTTGCGGGAGGTGGGATTTAGAATGGGACGCATAAGAATGTAAGACAACCGGGGGCAGGATTAGGGTGGGGAGGGAAGCGGATGAGAAAAGCAGAGAAGCGGCTGATGGGGACTCATTTGTGGCTCCAGCCTTCCAGTCAGAGCTGTGAGGGGATAAGGAAGTGCGGCTGCAAAGCACAGGTGAAGTTCGGGGTAAACAGCCCTGGACCCCAGGTTAAGATACCCACATTTAATTGCAAAGAACGGGCACCGGCAGAACTGAAGATTACTAAGGAAGGGAATATTACATCTTGGGTTTAGGAACTTGAGTCTTGCCAACAGGTTCTAATAAAAATGAGTCCTTGCCCTAAATCAGAACTGGCCCCAGGTAAGTAGTTGCTCCGTAGCTGGCTGCGACGTGAGGCCAGCGCTGTCCATGGTAACGGCTTTTGTGTAGCGCAACGCTGGCTTCCATTTTCTCATAACCACCTCGTGAGGGGTATTAGCCCTCTTTGGTAGATGAGGAAGCTGAGGCTGTCTAGGGTCACGGCCAGGAAGGCCTTAGGACACCGAGTCTGCTCTCCGGCCTCCACGCTGACCCTAGACTCGTTAGGTCCCGAAGGCAGTGTCCCCAGCAGCTGGAGGCACTTCTGGGGGGACTATCACCAGGTCCTGGCTCCGCTGTCCCCCTTAGCGCCCTGGAAGCCCCGCCCCCTGGTGGTCCTGACGAACCGCCACTTCCGTGACGTCCAATGAGACTTAGCCGGGGGAGGGACGGGACGCCGCTGAGGGCCAATCTGATTGTGCCGGGGCGGGGCTGCAGTGGGGGGTGGGGGGAGCCGAGCGGCCGCTCGGCGGTCTTCACAGCTGGGAGAGAACCCGGCGCAGGCGGCGCGCATGGGTCCCTGCTGTGCGCGTGCCCGCCGCTCGCGCAGCCCCTCGTCCCGCTCCGCCCTCCAGGTCGTGGTGCCCCCGTCTCCCCCGTCGCCTCCCGTACCCGGGCTCGGGAGCCGGGTCAGGGCAGGGCGGGAGCCGCGGGACTAGCGCCTGAGGTGGGTGTGGAGCGGGAGGCCGGGAGGCGGGGAGGCCGGGCGGACGGACTCCGCGTCGAGGTGGGGAGAGGCCGGCCAGGCTTAGGAGCTTGGGTACCAGGCGCTCGTGCCCCCGCCCTGACACCCGTCTCAAGCTACCACCCTCCCCTCGGAGAACACCCCGCCCCTCTCTCTGCCCGTGGCCTCCTCACCCCTCTTGCCCTTTGTCGCCTGTGCACCTGCCCTCTCGGCCCTGTGCTCCCATTCGCCCGCCAGACAGGACCTCCGCCCAGCCTTACCTTCTCGGGATCCAGCACCAAATTAGACTCGCTCCTTCAGCCTCATTCGTCCCTCTTTGTCGTCTGTACACTTGTCATCTCAACTCTGTTCATCTGCTCCATCACCCCATCCCCTACCATCTTCATCTAAACCCAGCCCGGCTCGTCATCCCCTCCTGCTCTCAGGGATTCCTCCCCCAGCCCTGATTACCGCTACCACTGCCCCACTCAGCCCCAGCCTCATGTCCTTCCCCGTCCATGCTCTTTTGTTGTCTCGGCAGCTGTCCCCTCGGCTCTTCATCCTCTCCCCAACTATGCCAACCCCCAGCCCAGACGGCCCTCTCCTGACTAGTGAGCCACCCCTCCCCACCTCGGTTCTGGCATTCCCCCGGATCTGTGCCCGGCCCACGGCTCACTCAGCCTAGCCATTTCCCTTTCTCTTTCAGCCCAGCCCTCAAATTCCTACCCAGTGTACCCCCTTGTCCTCTCCCGGCTCATCCAGTCTCCCTGGTCTCCCGCACACCAGCCGATTTCCCTGTCCTCGTAGAGTCTCTTTTCCTTATTGTGCTTCTCTTTCATGCTCCCTTGGCCTCCGCCGTCAGCAGCCCCGTCACTGTTTCTTCCCCCACAGGAGAAACCATGGAGCTGAGCAGCAAGAAGAAGCTTCATGCCCTGTCCCTGGCTGAGAAGATCCAGGTGCTGGAACTCCTGGATGAGTCCAAGATGTCCCAGTCAGAGGTGGCCCGGCGCTTCCAGGTCTCCCAGCCCCAGATCTCACGCATCTGCAAGAATAAGGAGAAGCTGCTGGCGGACTGGTGCAGCGGCACGGCCAACCGGGAGCGCAAGCGCAAGCGGGAGTCCAAGTATAGCGGCATCGACGAGGCTCTGCTGTGCTGGTACCACATTGCCCGGGCCAAGGCCTGGGACGTGACAGGGCCCATGCTGCTCCACAAAGCCAAGGAGCTGGCCGACATCATGGGCCAGGATTTTGTGCCCAGCATCGGCTGGCTGGTCCGCTGGAAACGCCGAAACAATGTGGGCTTTGGAGCCCGCCATGTACTCTCACCTCCGTTTCCCCCTGAGCCACCTCCTCCAGGCCTCACATCCCAGACCCAGCCACCTCTTTCCCTTAAAGACTTTTCCCCAGAGGATGTTTTTGGCTGTGCTGAAGTGCCCTTGCTGTATCGGGCAGTGCCTGGCAGAGTGGGTGCATGTGATCAAGTGCAGGTGCTGCTGTGTGCCAACAGCAGGGGCACAGAGAAGCGGCGGGTTTTGGTCAGTGGGCTCCATGCTGCACCAAGGTGCTTCTTTGGGGTCAGCAGTGAGGCTCTGCCTGCTTCCTACCACCCCGACCTGGGCATCCCCTGGTCAGAGTGGCTGGCACAGTTTGACAGGGACATGGGGAGACAGGGCCGACAGGTAGCCTTGCTGCTGGCTGCCCAAGTGGTGGAGGAGCTGGCAGGACTGCCTGGTCTCTGCCACGTGAAGCTCCTGCCTCTGTCCGCCGCTAGCTCCACACCTTCCCTGCCCAGCTCTGTGGTCCGGGCCTTTAAGGCCCATTACCGGCACCGTCTGTTGGGCAAGCTGGCGGCTGTCCAGAGCGAGAGGCCTGGCACGTCACTGGCTGAGGCTGGGGCGGGCATCACAGTGCTGGACGCTCTGCACATGGCAGCGGCAGCCTGGGCCAAGGTGCCTCCCCAGCTCATTGTCAGCAGCTTCATTCAGGAAGGGCTGGCTCCCTGCAAAACTTTACCCCTGTCCCCAGACAAAGCCTCTGAGATGCCACCACTCCCCCGTGGGCTGAGCCACGAGGAGTTTTCCCGCTTTGTGGACCTGGAGGGCGAGGAGCCCGTGTCTGGAATGTGCAAAGAGGAGCTGGGCACCGAAGACGAGCAGGAGGCCAGCAAGGATGGCTTCGAGCCCCTGCCCACCAAAGCTGATGCCCTCCGAGCCCTGGGCACGCTGAGGAGGTGGTTTGAGTGCAATGGCACTTCCCCTGAGCTATTTGGAAAATTCTATGCCTGCGAGGAGGAGGTTGAGCGGCTCTGCTGCCTGTGAAGCCCCTGCTGCTCGCAGAGCCCCCTCCCCTCCTGTTTCCCATGGAAACGCCCTCTGCAGAAGGCAGGTTGGGGGCTGGTCTCTTTCCCGTGGAAATGGAGCTTTTGTGAAAGGTGTAGAAGGGAGGCAAGTTGGGAGACCAAGTCTAAGCTCTGAGGAAAAATTTTCCCAGCCCGGAGAAGAGGGGTCCAAAAGGGGCGCTAGGGGGGTGAAGCTAGGCTAGGTAGGTTCTGAACCTCTAGGGAGGCTAGGACTTGAGAAGGTGGAATTTGGGCTTTACAGAAAGGCTGATCCCTTGAATTCTGTGTTAAAAAGTCCTGCTTCTGGAAATAAAGTTTTTAATCAGAAAAGACGCCAGGGTGTTATTTTCAGGGAAGAAGGATGGAAACTTTCAACTTAGATTTTTAACTTGATGGCTGAGGTTTTCTGCGATGCAGCTGTCTGGGGTTGTCTGTGGGTGGCCATAGGAAGCCCCTTCTTCCAGAATTCCAACAGGAAGGACTCCCAGGGAATGGGGACCCCTCATCAGCTAACAGACAGATCCCCAGGATTGCCCTGGACACTCTGCTGCTCTGCTAATTTTGCTCTCATGGCATGGCGGGGTGGTGTCAGGAAGGAGGGGGACAGGCTAGGAACGTTCTAAGGAAACAGAAAGGAGCCAGAACTTGTCGTTGGTTGTTTTTTGGGGTTTTTTGTTGTTTTTTAAATTCATTTGATCATTTCACAACATCTCTTCAGCAAGGCCTCCCGTGTGACGAGGTTACAAAGATGATGGCCCTGCTGGGCAGGACCTTGCAGACACTGACAGTGGAGTGTAATGATGTGCAAAATGCTGTGTCCCCGTAGAGCCTGGGAGACTCCTGGAGAGATGAGTTATGAGCTGCAACTTGAAGAACAGTGGAGGGGCAGGAAGGACAGTCGAGGCCAGTGGGCAGCAGGCGTGAGGCCGACTGAGAGTGAAGGAGCGGCCGTGCGGCTGACAGAGGGAGGCAGACCTTCCGCCAGAGCCACTGGGAGGCCCCCAGAGCAGGAAGGGCCGGGCTGTTAACCCACAGAGCTTGGGGGTGGGGCACCCCCAAAGAGTTCCAGTCAGGGCAGGAACAGGTCATTTGTGGAGTACCAAAAAACTGATACATGGGGCCGGCTGAGTGGCGCGATGGTTAAGAGCTGGCTTGGGACGCCAGAGGGCCCGGGTTCAGATCCCACATATGAGGGCCAGTGACACTGCCCTCCACAGCTAAGATGCTGAACAACAGCTCGACCTGGAGCTGGACTGCCATGGGTTGCCGGCAACGGCGTAGGCTGCAGTCCCCTGCTGCAGTGGGTTGCCATGGGCTACCGTATGTAGCCAGCAGCCAGCGTGAGCGGCCAGCAGCCACAGTGAGCGGCCGTCCAGAAGCCGGCGACTCATGTGCCTCGCCCAGGAAGAGCGCAATGATGGTGCCAACTTGGGCCAGTGAAGCAACGTCCTCTACAGATAGACTGAAGAACAAAACGACAGCAACTTGTCTGTTCCCCTTCCCCCAATTCCCCAGCGCTGTTCCCATCCCCCCAATTTCCCAATAAAAATCTTTAAAAGACAAACAAACGAAAAACTGATATGTGGAGGGTGGGTGAAAGATGTGGGAGTGGGCTGGAAAGAGGATGGTTTTAGCTGGAAAGGATGTGGGCCTTGGACACAGACTTTGACTGGTGAGGAGTCCGGCTCCAGGCTAAAATCCTATGTGTTCAGGCTGACCACAGGCTGTCACAAGCCAGTGTAGGCAGTTTTGTGCAGGGCATTACAATCAAGGACTCAGGCCACCCAGGGCAGCCCCTCTCATACCTGTATTCCTAGTCCAGGTGCCTCTGCTAAGCCGCTCTCTCCACCTTGATGCATGTACCTTTCACTCTAAAGTCGTCCTTCTCGCCGCCTCCCCCCGTCCTGCACACAGAGGCAGGAGCCTTTTATTTAGGGGGCTCCTGACAGGGAGACAATTCCTGGTGTGCCTGGCATGTCATCTGACCCTCACCCGGCGCCGTTCCGTTGGGGAAAGTGGAACGCTGGGGAGGTAGTGACTCTTTCTGCCTCTTGCTTGCACTGTCACAGTAAGTGAATAAAGGCTGGTTGATGCTTTCAGTGTGACTCGTCCTAATTGACCATCTCAGTACTTGGCAGCTGAACAATGATGACGACTCACTTTTAAACAATTCTAAAGCCACCTGCTGACTTCTCTTTTCTAGCCTAAGATCCCAAATCATCTAGCCTTTCCTCACAGGTTCCACTTTTCCTACCTTCTATTCATTTAAATTATCCTTTTTCTGAAATCATCCCAGTTCGGACATACCTTTTGAAATGTTGAAACCAAAATTACACCATCACTTAAAGGCTTGACCAAAGCAACAGAGGGGGACAGATTAGCTCTGTTCTCAGGTGTCAGATTCCTGTTGGAGCAGAATAATGAAACATAGCCTTTCATTGCTGACTTCTTGCCAGAGCTTTTTTTTAAAAAAAAAAAACCACAAGTAATCTCTCCCTTTGTTGCATTGTTATCACATGTCACACTTTGCCTCTTTGTAGGTGACTTCATTGGCTCATTCAAGCCAGCTGAACACACCTTGCTTGTGGGATAGGCCATGTTCTAGCACCCTAAGCTAGTGCTGAACAAGACAGAGGACCCCTCCTCTCAAAACCCTTACTTTCTAGAAGAGGGAGATAAAGAAGGACAGGCAAACGAATAACCATAGCGATACGATACGTGCCAGGATGAAAATTAGTGATATAACAGAGAATGACTGAGAGGGTGGAGTCGTGAATGTTAAGAAGGAAACATTCATTCTTCAGGAAGAAGAGTGTCCTCTGCCAAAGGAACAGTAGTTACAAATTTCTAAAGTTAGGAACAGCTTTCCGGGTTTAAGGAACGGAAAGCTGTCCCTGTGGCTGAAAGTGAGAGAGAACCAAGTAGAGGAGGAAGGTGGAGAGCTGGGCAGGGGCCTTTGAGCCAGCAGCATTTAAATTTCATTCTAAGTGAGACAGGAAGTGTTCCTTTCTGGGGGGTGGGGGAGATTTACAGAAAGGAAGAACGTGATGTTTTTTTGTGGTTTTTTTATAAACATTTTTTGGGGGGAATTGGGGGAGGGGAACAGTGTTGGGGAATTGGGGAAGGGGACCAGCCAAGTTGTTGTTCTTCAGTCTTCATTGTGGAGGGCGCCAGTCGCCATCTGGCTTCCTGTTGGCAGCTCATGGCCTCTAAGCTTAAGGTGCTGTGTTCAATCTTAGTTGGGCGTAGCCACCATCCCATGTGGGAGTCGAACCAACAGCTTTGTTGTTAAGGCACATGCTCTATTCACTGAGCCATCCGGGCGGCAGCTCAGCTCAAGGTGCGGAGTTCAGTCTTAGTTGCGGGTGGGCGTAGCCCACCATCGAACAGGCAATCTTGTTACACCAGCTGAGCCATCCTGCCACCTGTTGGCAGCTCAGTGACAGCTCAGCTCGGGTGCAGCATCACTGGCCCATGTGGGAATCGAACCGGTGGCCCTGTTGCTCAGAGCTCGTGCTCTTAAGCCAGCTTTTAACCAACTGAGCCACTCGGCCGGCCCAAGAACGTGATGTTTTTATGTTTCAGAATGTTTAATTCTAGTTGCTGTGAAAAACACATGAGGAGGTGGGGAGCAAAAGTGGAAACCAGAAACCCAAGTTAGGAAGCTACTGAGTTGGTGGGACTCCCTCGTGGATAGCGTATATAAGGTATGAAGGAATGAGAAGAATCGAACAGGGCGTGTGCTATTTCCAATAGATTTAAGTTTTTGCCAAGGTCGGGCAGTCCTATCCAATTCTGCAGGTATTGCCATATGCACATTAAGGGGTGGGGGTGGGGGACAAAGGAGGTATGTACATTGTTCCTGTTTACTTACAAGCCTGTAATGAACACCCTCTCTTGTTCAGAAGGCATGCAAGGCTTCAGGGCAGCAAGAGTGAATAAGGCGCAGTCCCTCTGTCCCTTAGGAGCTCACAAACCAGAGGGAGAAATAGGAAGTGACTGACAATACAGGTCCGTCATGAGGATTAAACAAATTGATATTTATAAAGTGTTTTCTATTTGCCAGGCACTATTTTAAATACTAGACATATGTTAGATATCATCATCATCATCATCATCATCAAACTGGAGAAGATGACGAACTGGATGCAGAGAGCCCAAAAGCAGAAAGATGGGTTCCCCATCTTATATCTCTGCGTTGCACTCTGAATGATTCCCATCCACCTTCCAGTTCTCTTCAGCTAGCTCTTTGGGTTTTTCTCCCAAATATATTGGGAGTGCCAAAAAAATGTATACAAGTGGATGCTTTGGACAATGTTGCTCAAGCAGTAGTTCACTGTAATCAGAAGTGTCTGGGCGCTGATAGTAACCACTTTGAGCACCTCTTGTAATTGCAGAAGTCAAACATGACTTGTATTCATCTTTTGTTATCGGTATATGTTGAATATTATAATTTTAATAGTTTTTTTCCTTTCTTAAAGTGTGTATACTTTAAGCACCCTCTATTTATAATGTATTTATTTTTTGGCACCCTCTATATATAATCTGTTTTATAGTCTCTTGTTACTTCTCTTTTCATTCATTTATATATTTAAATATTTCATGCATGGTTATTTTACATTCTATATCTGATAAATCTAATATCTGAAGTCCTGGGTGGGGGCCAAATCTGTTGCTTTTGTTTCTACTGATGCTTTAATTCATAGTGGCTTTTTTCCTTGTGGATCTGGTAATTTTTGTTGTGGGAATTTTTTTGTCGGTTGTACTTAATCTCCAGAAAACCTGACAATCCAAATTTAGGATGCTATCCTTTAGAAAAATGTGTAGTTACTCCTACCAGGCACGAGGGGGCGCTGATACCACAAGATATTAATTTCTGGAAGGAAGGTGTCCCAGACCTGAAGAGCAGCATGGGGAACAGGCATATAGTTCCTGGTTCACAGGGGAACCGATCTTAATTTTTTTTCCACCACAGAGAGAAAGGTAGATTTCTTTGTAGGTTTGCTTTACTGGTGGGTGGAGGTTTTCTGGTCTGTGCTTTTCCTAAAGGTGGAGCCCATTCCAGTATCTTGACTTAATTTATGAGATGGGCTCAACTTGGACTCAAGGTCTATCTAGTCTTCTACTCCATGTGGCTCTTCACTATCCAAGGTCATGGTGTTAGCGTTTGCCCAAGCACAGCTTTGGTTCTCACACCCTGGCTTAAACTAGCTTCCTTGTTTTGAAGGGGTCCTTGAGAAGTTCCCTTACTGTTTGCAAAGTTAGCAATGTTTCTTAAATTATGCTTGTTATAATGGATCTGGAATCTAGTCGCTTCCCAATAGGAGGGCTCTACATAAAATCTAGAGCACCCACCTGACAGAGGAGAAGTTGGGAAGACCAGTTTTCATTCATTCATTCATTCACTCGCTTGTTCAAAACTATGTATTGGGCACCTCTGTGTGCCAACTGGAGTTTTGATGATGAGCAAAAAGAGCCAAGGTCTCTGCCTCATGGAGCTCACTGTTTAGAGGAGAGATAATTATAATCAAAGAGTAACACAAATGAAAATATAGGATTATGGACTAGAAGGGGGGAATATGAAAGCACAAGCCAGTGGTTCTCAAACTGGCCCACACCTGCAGCACTTGGGAAGTTACTGAAACACAACTTCTCTGACCTTCCCCAAACTTATTGAATCGGAAACTGAGGTGGGACTCAGCAATCTGTATTTTAACAAGCTTTTCAGGTGAGTCACTGGCGTAAGCCAAAGGAACCTGACCTAGACAGAGCGACTGAGGAAGGTTTCGTTGAAGAAATGAAGTGAGAGCTGAAGGATGAGCGGGAGGCACACAGGCAGTGAAAACAGCATGTGCAGATGTCCTGTGGTAAGAGGGAGCCTGGTATGCTTCAGGAACCAAGAGAAGGTGAATGTCTGAGGGCCTTGGAGGCTGTGGCAGGAGCTTGCCCTGATTCCTGAGAGTAATGGGAAGTCATTGAGGGGGATAAGAGGAGTAGGCTAACTTCATCAGAACTGCATTTGAAAAAGGTGACTTATTTGTCCAGATTCAGGATAGGACCAGGGCATAACTTGCTTTATTGCACTTCACAGATACTGCATTTGTTACAAATTAAAGGTAAGACCCTCCACCAGCAAAAAGATTATGATTCGCTGAAGACTTAGATGGTGGTTAGCATTTTTTAGCAGTATTTTTAAATTAAGGTACATATATTGTTTTTTAGACATAATGTTATTGCACACAATAGACTGCAGTACTGTGTACTGCAGTACTGTGTAAACATACTTTTTTTTTTGTTTTTTTTTTAGCTGAGCCATCCTGCCACCTGTTGGCAGCTCAGCGGCTGCTCAGCTTGGGCCGGGACTCGAACTGCTGTTGCTCAGAGCTCAAACTCTTGAGCGAGCTCTTAACCAACTGAGCCACTCGGCCGGCCCTTAAACATACCTTTTATTCATACTGCGAAACCAGAAAACCCATGTGACTCTCTTTATTGCGAGCCTCACTTTAGTAGGCAGCAAGTCCTAGGAAACTTGAGAAGCTGGTTGGTTGGGTGGGGGGGGTTCCAGGTTCCTTTGAAGTGGGAGGAGGGACAAGGGAGAGCTTCTTTGAGACATCTGGCCTGAGGACATACGTGTGCCACAGGGCACTGCAGCAGGAGCAGGTCGGTGACTTTAGGATGCTCTGTGACCAGAGACAGTTGGCAGTGCGGCACTGGAGCTCAGGACAGTAGTCAGATTGGAGACACCAATTAAGAGTGACTTATCTTAATGAAACTAAAAACTAAACTTGCTGTTCCGTGAGTCTGGCAAAATTGATTTAAGCCAGAATTACCCCCAAATTGTGTCATTTTCCCCTTTACCTGCACATCGTGTCATTATACACATAAGTCAGTCCCCTGTAATTTCTCCTGTGACCACTGCTATAAAAAAATAAGTACACATGATGTTTGACAACGTGTATCCAATGAGACACTAGTTAACATGTTTGCTCAGTTATAAGCCTTCAGACACCACCCTCGGTTTCAACCTCAAAAGCAGTTCACTGACTCCTTCCTAGTTCTTGGGGAGTCCTTCTATCTACATGAGTCTCAGGAATAATGATGACCTTTAATATCTGTTCATTCCTTAAGGAATTTAACATGCATATTATGAGACCCTGCTGATGTAAAAACATCTAGCTTTTAAAAATATCTTCCTCCTTTTCCTGTCTGATCTTTGTTTGTCTTTCCACCCTCCTTTCCAACACTGTATCATCCCCTCCCTGGGCCTCTGAAGGACTGAGCTGTTTCTCATGGCTCAGCTCACATAATGCTTAACCCGACCCTCACTTCAGTGCTGTTCTGCAGCCCAGCTGGGAGTGCTTTCCTTGGGCTAGAGGAAGGAACTGCACAGACCAGGTGCAAGACCTGCCACTCTCTCTAGTTCTAAGAAGGGGCTTAGAAGAGGGGAGCTCCAGCCCCCTCCAGAGATACATCTGGAGAGAACCAGAGAGGGAAAATGGAAGCATGTGCCCAGGTAGTGCAAAGGCAGGCTTATGGGTGTAATTACTACCCCCAAAAAGGATTTAATTTACACATAACCAAAAAAGGATTTTTATCTTTTGTTCTAGCTGGTAATGTTAGGTCCTCGCTCTTTAGTAAAGACCTGAGAAACAGAGTTTTTCGTTCCAAAAGCTTTATTCAGCCAAGCCTGGCGACCGCCTCACTCTGCAAGAGGAGAACAGCCCGAGGTCTTGGAGGGTGGAAGTTTTATAGGGGCTTGATTTCCGGGAGTTTGAGCAGAAGCAGGTATAGAAGCAAAAAAGCAGTTAGTTTTTGTAAAATGTCCTGAGTCAGGTGTGGAAATGGGTTATCTGTACAACAATAATCTATTGTTGTAACCTAATTCTTGCAAAGAAGAGCTTCTACTGTTAGCTATAACTGCATCCTGCTAGCTTAACAGGATGTTCTTTTATGTTCAGCTGGAGTATGACTTTTTCTTACTCCTCAGGGCGGGGGCTATTTTTTAAACTGGGCTTGCTTCGTCTAGGGTCTGGGCCTGGGTCCTCACAGTAATGTGGTGAGAGAGAGCAAACAGAGGACCACCCTGACCTCGGCTACGTTTATAAAAGCCACTTCCTCTTTCACATGCATGCTCTTGGCTCCCTCCCTCCCATCCAACTATACTGTACATAGCTGACACATCTAGCCCCAAATCTCTGGCACAGCGGTGGTGCTGGACAGCCACTGGGTCTCTCAGGCTGACCAGTCAGAAGGGATCTCAGAGGAAAGTGAGGCACAGAAAGGGCAGTGTCTGGCTCAGGCAGACCTTGTCTTTCCATGAACCTGTGTGAGCGTGGGTGGAGGCCACTAGCGCTAGTTCAAGTCACTTCTGTTACAGAACTCAAGGGGTTCGCTGCTTGGGGTGTTCCGCAGAGAAGTGGTTGTAGTTAAGCAGTTTTTTATTTACTTGCACCAAGTAAGAGACAGGACTCCCATCCAAGCTCTGTCTCCCTGAAGGGAGGCTTAGCCATTGCTTATATACACTATTTGGTTAATTACATGTTGATTTCTTCTTTGCAGTTGGCTACACTTATCTGGTTGGGTTCCTCTCAAGCTTATCCTGTTTACAGCTGAGTCTGCAAAATACTGTGCTACACTGTAACATTTAGCAAGAACAACATTTGGTAAGAACTGTCCAGACCTTGGGACCCTTGTCCTATCTAACACTTCCCCTAGACTCACAACTTCCTTACTTAAAAAAAAATCCACAGCACATTTCTACCATTAGGAGCTGCCAGAGCACTGCTTTTTAAACTTCAGGGTGTGTCTAAAAGTCACAGGAGAGCTTTGTACAACACAGATTCCTGGACCTCAGCCTCAGTGAGCTCCCAGTCAGTCCCAGGTGGGCCCTGGGATTCTGCATTTCTAACCAGCTCCGGGAGGTCCTGACACCCACTGCGCCACGGACCACACTGGGACCACCCCGACCTCAGTCAGAACTCGAAGACCCTCACCTACTGTGTGAGTTAGGGTGAAGGCCAAACTGGTGGGATAAAGAGACCAGAATGCAGCCGCCCAGGGCAGTTAGGTGGGCTGTGCTCCCAAAGCCCCCCAGGTTCCCAGCCAGTGGGTTCCTCCTGCATTCTCAGCAGTCTTTCCAAGGTCACCATTTCAGCCAACACAGGGAGGAATTTCCTTGTAAGCAAACTACAGGCCATTTGGTTGCATCACACAACTTCGCTTCCAAGAACCCAACCACAGGACCCCACCAAGCTGCAGGGGAGGTTGGGACACACAGCAGGGCTCAGCGACCACATGCCCTGTGGCCATGCCATGACAAAGGAGGAATGATTTGGGATGCCACCCTCAGTTTGTGGCCCACGAGCCAGTGAAGGACAGCTCTGATGAGAACAAGCAGGGGCTGATGCCAGGCCTCCCCGGGTAAATTTGAACTTAGGTGACGCCTAGGAGACTGTCACAGTCCCTAAGGAGAGCAGGGTAGCAGAGTAACCGGGCTCTGGAGTTGGGGGCTTAGATGTGTCCAGGCAAGTTGTGTGACATACCAGACGTAGGATGAGTTACATACCATCTGCGAGCCGAGTCCACCTCCTCTGCCAACGGTGATAAGAATGCCGTGATTGTTTTTATAGGGAGCGCCCCGTAAATGGCAGGGATTCCAGGTATTCAGGTCACCGTGAGGCAGGCCCAGGTTGATCTCAGACTAGATCAGGACATTAGGGGGTACAAACTCTGCTCAGCTTTATTTCCAGTTTTTAATTCCTACTTTGCATTTGAGATAAAACAAGTGCTATTGATGAGAATGGGCCAGGCAGACATGGAGGCGCGGCGGCAGGACCAAGGCAGCAGGCGGGGTGGCTGGAGGCAGGGAGGGACGCGGGAGAGCAACGGCACTTCATTCAACAGGCATTTACCGAGCTGCTTCCAGCACCAGGCTCCGAGGTGGGAAATGAGGAGAAGTGCAACCACTGCCCTCAAGGAGCTCCCACTCTAATGGGGAAGCTGAGAAGTCAAACAACCACCATGATAAAGCACAGGCGAGGGCTACGATCAAGGCAGGCAGGGGATCTGCAGACCCCAAAGTCAGTCAGGAGCAGGGTGGAGGTGAGCGGAGAAGGGAACCCAGGTGACAGTACTCAGCCTGGGTCTGGGAGTGGGTCCAGGCAGCAGGATGATGGGGTCACCCATGGCACTGCCCACTTTTGGCCAGGAGGGTCTAAGGCCAGAGGTGATGAGCAGGCACCGCTTGTTCTCCACAGCAGGGCTGGGCTGCCCTCAGGTACCCCGCCAGGAGGGGGTGGAGTTTGGGCTTTTTCCTGAAGGTGATGGGGAGGTAAAGGATCCTGGACTGGCCGAATGTCACCTGTACCACTGGTTAGTTGGTTTACAAAGGAATCAAAGCAAGTGCTGCTGGGAGGCTGAGGCCAGGAGCGGTGGGAGTGGGGGGCTGCTCCCCACAATCGTCTCCCCAGCCCCATGTGTCTGTGAGGCTGGGAGGTGCCTTGACAAGGAAAGGTTGAGCCTCTTGCATTGAGTCTCAACCTGGTGCTTTCAACTTGGCCTCTAATCTGGACAGGTAGGTGGCGGTCTCACTGGGGAGCTGCAGGCAGTGCCTGGCCAGCTCATCCCCACGAGTGGAGGAGGTACTCGTAGCTGAGGAAGGTAACAGCATTGACAGGAAAGGCGCGGGCACTGTTGATGGTCAGCCCCCGGAAGAAGACCCCCAGTCCTTCCTGCCGGGCGCTGCTTACCATGCAGTCCAGCATCCCCTGGTACTCCCTCTGCTTTAGCCCGGCCATCTGCATCCTGGACTTGATCACATCCAAGGGGGTGGCTGTCACCCAGGAGGTGATGCCTGCAAATCCCCCTGCCACCAGCACTGTGGCTGAGCCTGGGGTAGAGGGAGCCCAGGGCAGGGTCAGATGGAGGAACAAAGCATCCTCCCCCCTCGTCTCTTCCCCCATTCTCCCTGATGGACCAGCTCCCCGACCCCACTGCCCTGTGTGCCCCACTCTCTCACACCACTTCACTTACTAGGGTTCTGGCCATCTGGCGTGGATTGGCGACAAAGCCATTCATAGGTGGCGAAGTAGATTCCCAATGTGGGGGTGTCCCTCAGCGTCAGAGCCCAGGCTCCCCGGAACAGCCCTCGGGGCCCCTCCTCCTGGAAGATGGAGGCCGCACAGTGCACAGGCCCTCTGTACTGGGGCGGGGGGCTCCCTGGCTGCGCCCTTGGCTCTGTCTGGTTTTGTAGCCGCACTTTGATGAGGTCAAAAGGAGCCAAGCAGTAGGCCTGTAGGGAAGGAAGTGTGAAGGCCCAGGATGGGGCTTCGGGTGGGAACAGTTGGCTTATCTTAACAAGAGGAAGGCAGTGGGCAGAGAGGACAGTATCTCCTGCAGGACCCCGCTGCTCCTGCTGCCAGCTCTCAGCCCCACACGCTCGAAGCTGGGGACGGGCCAGGGCCACCTCCTTCGCACCAGGCCCCTGACAGAGAGCAACGCTGCCGCTCTCCTGGGGCAGCAGTGCCCAACTTGCCTGGTACATGCATGGAGCTCGGGGACAAGCCTGGGTTTTTTTTTTCTAGAAGCGGGGGTCAGTTTCTAGCCTCTCCCAGGCCAAGAATGAGCATGTATCTGCAGTGACTGGGTCTGAAGAAACGGTTTAGTCTGTGCCCATGAAACAGCAAAGGACTGAGCCCTCTCCAGGGTTAAGGAGGTCACCTCATGAGTGTTGGGGACTCAGCTTCATAGAAATAGACTCTCCCTCCTCACCTCCTGCAGGACACCTCTTGGAGGCTCCTGAGGGGTGGCAAGCACAGGGGCCAGCCCTTCCTGTCTCTCACAAACCCCCAACTATTAGCCTCCCAACAGAAGGTGAGTGACAGGGTGGGGTCTGCAGGTCCTGGAACTCTTATCGCCTGGCTAAAGCAGACCGGACACAGATTTGGGATAATATGAGGACTGAGGGTGGGTGCTGGAAGGATGTGGAGGGAAGTTGGGGGGAGGAACTAATGCATGGATCAGAGATTCAAGTAGGTCAAGATCAGCTGTTCAGGTGAGAATTGAGGTCATAGCTGAGGTCAGCATAGTATTTAGGGGCTTGTGTGTTTTGTGTGTGTCTGTTTGTTTTGTGGAAGATACACTAGCTCAGTCCCTCAGCCTGAGAATTGCTGATGGCACAAGAGGCTCGTGGTTGGCCCTGGCAGTGATCTTCAGAGGGTGTCAGGAAGGGCAGTGGACTGGGGACCCTCCCTGTGAAATGGGACCTTGATGTCACCCTCCAGAGCCTACTAGCAGTGCCAAGCTGAGGGCTTCTCCATGGGATGTGCTCCTGAGTCCCAGGCTCCTAGGGGCTGAGGAAATGGCTGGGCCAAAGGTAGGGTGCAGACAGGGGCTGGTTAAAGCCCCTGCCCTCACCAGCCTGTGCCCACGGAGGCAGTGGGGACATCGGGCACTGCTGCATTGTTTGATGGCGTCAGCCTTAGCCAGCCAAAAGCAACTTTTGTGCACAGCAGAGGTCAGACCCTGCCCTGTTCTAACCAGGGTCACTGCCCACTCCTTCCCACCTCCACACAAAAACACATTTTCTGCTCCAAGAACCTGTGAAACTGAAGTCCTGGACTTGACAGCAAACTGGTCCAGTTAGTCCCTGGACCCAGTCCCCATCATGACTCGACAGGCCCCAGTTCTGTTATCTGTTCTGCTCTCCAAAGAGCTGGAGGGGAGGCTGACTTAGGAGCTGGCCCTGGCTGGGCCTAAGCCAGGCCACCTGGCCTGGGGCCTCAGTTGCCTTCCTTGTTTCTGGGGGCTGCCAGGTCTTGCGGCTTCGGAAACATGCAGGCATGCACCCTGCACAAGAAACGGCAGAAGAAAAGCCAGGGCCTTTGGGGTCTCATGAATCATTAATTCACTTGAGTGAGCCAGCTGACTCTGTCCTTGGTCCTTGCTCTCTGCCCCGTGAAGCCTGTCAGGAGCATCAGGGCACCTGGCTGGGGTGTGGGGTGGAGCGAGGCACACATTCCTGTGTCTGGGTGGTTAGGCCCCTCTGCTCTCCTCCCCACCTCTCAAAAGCCCAGGTACTTAAGTGCTGAGAACAAAGACCAACACCAGTGATGGAGTTACTTAATGATTAATACCCTGGGGCTCTCCCAGCAAGATCTGTGGACTGGGACTTGGGAGGCTCACAGATTGCGGCCTCCCAGGTGCTGCAAGCAACGGGCCTGAGCAGGGGGGCTGCTGGGCGAGTGCCAGGACCATGTCCTTCACCACTAGGCTTGGAGCTCTGTGGGGCTGTCAGTTCTCCAGGGTGAAAGGTCACCTTGGAGAGAGGTCTTCCCACAGCCCTGAAGCTAGCAGACTCCTCCTGAGGTGGGCAAGCCCTATCAGCCTCCGAGTGGGGTCCTCTCGGCACCATCTCCTGCACCCCACCCTCACCCTGAGCCCTCTCCGCCTTTTGCCCCTCTGTTCACCATGACCCTCCCCTCCAGGCCTGCAGCCTGGAAGGCCACAGCTCAGCCTGGCCAGGTCAGTGGGAGCAGCAAGAGCTTCCCATTTCCCCACTGCTCCCCACATTCCCATTCGCATTCCCATGCGAAGATCCTGGTCTGTGGCTGTGAGTCACCAGACAGGGCTAGGAGGGGAAGGAATGAACTGACCATCGCGGTGTGTGTGCGCACGTGTGTGTGTGTGTGTGTGTGTGTGTGTGTGTGTGCGTGCACGCGCATGTATGCGTGCCCCCATGCCACCCTGACCTGCAGGAACCCCCCGGTGCAGCCGGCTATGAAGACGTGCGTGTAGCTGGGCGGCTGGGCCCGCCGCTCCTGGTGGGAGGTTGCGGTGAGCACCAGCAGGGTGTTGCTATAGACCCCGAACAGGACGGAGTTGACCACGGCTATGCTCGCGATGGGGAAGCTCATCCCCTTGAAGAAGCCCAGGAGCTGCAGGGAGACAGTGTTAGAGTGGGTGGGGGGCGTGGGGGCCTCCCCTTTGCCCTTTCCAGCCCTGGCCAGGCCTCCTCTGGCTAGAAAAGCACTTGGAGTCTGGTATAGGGAGGGGGAGGTGGCCAGGGCTGGAACAGCCTCAGCACCACCCTTGGGCCGCTAAGCTACCACCCAAGCCCCAGTGGCCCCAGACTTGGGTCTTCTCTCTTCCAAGGGCAGAGCCCTGTCTGGAGAGAAGGAAGCTGGTACTGACTGTCCAGATGCCTCCTGCCCCAGAGCCCCAAAGAAGCAGGCCACCCACCGACTCATGGCGGTAAGTCTTGACCATACAATCCACGATGCCCCGGTAGGTGTTCTGGGTCTGTAGCCGCACCTGCATGGAAAGGAGAGCAGGCAGGCAGGCCCGGCATGGCTCCAGGCCAGCTCATCCCTCTGCCCCTCGAGCAGGATGCCAGAAGGGCAGGAAAGGCAGGAGAAAGCCGCTGTCAGCCAGGCCCTGCTCTCAGGGTGTCCTAATGTTTGATTCAGGTGGCATCTTTCATTCCGTGAGTGCCTCCCCTAGACTCACCTTTACAGTGTCAAAGGGGTGTCCCAGGACCAAACCCAGAGCGCCTGTGGTGACAAGAAGGTGCAGTGAGTGAGGCCCCTCACGCCAGGCTGAGGAAGCAAGTCTGTGCCGAGAGGAAAGAGGGATTCAGGCAGGAGGAGAGGGGGCAGGCCTTTCTGCCAGACTCCAAAAAAAAACTCCAGCTGGCCCCTGGGAACTCCCTCCACACCAGGCGCTGGGCTAGGAAGGTGTGGGGACAAGAGGACAGCAGGAGGGAGCTCCAGCCTTGCCTAGAGGACACAAATGCAGAAGGGAGGAGTCAACCACAGACACACGGTGACCTCTGGGAGTGCACCGGGAGGGTCTTGCTGGCTTATCTAACCCTGGGGCTGGATGGGGTCTCCACTGCTCCCGCCTTCCTTCAACTCACAACCACTGTCCAGTAGGGGGGCAGGGGCTTGATCCAGACAAGGCCCTGCCCTCCCAGCGCTCTGCCCCCAGCAGTGGCAGTGCAGAGCTGGGGCTCCTTAGGGGAGTCTTGCTGGCACCAGGGGAGGAGACTCCAGCCCCGGCCATCTCCCCTCTTCCAGGTCTGGCCCTCTATAGCGAAGGTTGGTCCTGGAGTGGTTGAAGCCCCAGGAGGCAAGCTCAGAATGTCCCTCTCTTTCTCCTAAGAGAAATGTCACCCTGAAGCTGGGCTGAGTGCAGAAGGCCTCGGGGCCCTGGGCGTGCAGTCCATTGCCAGGTAGAGCAGCAGCCCAATGGAGAACGCTGGACAGCAGCAGGTGAGTGAGGTTAAAGGGGAACTTCCTTTCTGAGCCCCACAAGGCAGGCTTGGAGAGTGGGGTTTGAGGTGTAGGCGCTGCCAGTATGTCAAGGAGAGCAAGCACCTTGGCTCCCCCTCTGGACAGATGTCAGGCAATGTGGCCTTGGAGCACAGCAGCACCACCCCCTACCCCCCACCCCCTCTGCGACTTCCTCTCCTCTCCCCTCAGGCAACTCCCAGGAGGCAGCTGGCTCTGGGCTCTCCAGGGGAACCAGGACTTTGGCCTCAGCTGCTCCTATGTCACCCACCTTCCCCAGGAAGTGATCCACCATTGGGGATGATGTGACAGAAGGAAGAAAAATGTCTCACCAGAGATCCAGCCAGCCACAAACTCCTCCACGGGCATTGTCCTGCCGGGTGGGAACTGGTGGCTCCAGCAGAGGAGACGCTGGTGAAAGTGTAATTCTACCCTCTCCCTTCCCCGTACCCAGACTGATAACCTCCCACTAATGTTTAACCCTGGGTGTAGGGTGAGCAGTGGCCTGGTGCCCAGACCTCACCAGATGAGGGGAGCGAGCCAGATTGGGTGGCCCTGACGCACTGGAGGAGGTGTGCAGTGTGAAATCTCACGGGACAGCCAGGATGGCCAAAGGTGGCCTTCCCCCTGCCGGCCAACGATGGTCTTGCAGACTGACCAGGCCCGGCAGGCCCCTCCAGGCTGCCTCAGTCAGCATGGATTTAATGAGCCTTCTGGGGGCAAGGCCCTGCTTGTCCAGGCATCCGCGACTGGCGGCAAGGCTGGTGAGGTGGAGCATGGCCAGCAGGGGGCAGGCCCAGCCTGCAGTTGCCAGAGCACTGGGGAATCACAGACGCCCACAAGGTGGGAAGGACCCCCATCCCAGAGGAGTGACTCAGCAGGGACTGAAGCTGAGCCTTCTCCCAGGGTTGTTTAGGACTCCCCCATGTGAGTCATCAACAGCCTCCCTTGGCTTCCTCGTCTCCAAGCCTCTTTCCCTGGGGAAAGTTGGGGGTTTTGAGTATATGAAAGATGGTGTGCCTCTCTGCTTGGGGGTGACCAGGCTATGACTGCCCCTTTCTCTTTGGACAGTGACAATCCAAACTGACAAGGCAGCAAACTGAATCTCTCTCCTGGGAGGATGAGAAGGAGGGGGGATGAAGAGGACTGGGCTCTTCTTTTGAGGGCACACGCAGTGCTCAGGAGCCACTGCCCATAGAAATCTGTGAAGGCCCCAAACATGGGTACCAACTCTTAGTGTCATCCTGACCTCTTCCTTTCCCTCACACCTCACCACCATTCCATGAGGAAATTGCGTCATTACCTTCAAAACAGATCCGAAGCTATCCCCCCCTCACCTCCTCCACTGCTACTACCCTGGCCCAAAGCCACCATCACCTCCACTTGGATTCCATCCTTGCCCCCTTCCAGTCTGTTCTCCACACAGCAGCCGGAGTGATGAGTTAACATCTAAGTCAGACCATTCTCTTCAGCTCCACATCCTGCAAAGGCCTCATCCTGCTCAGAGTCTGAACCAAAGTCCTTCCTTGGCTCTAGGAGCCCTCAAAGTGCTGCCCCATATTCCTCTGACCGTCCCCTTGCTTGCTCTACCGCAGCCACCGGGACGCCTCTTCTTCAGACGGGCTCCTGCCTCCAGCCTTCGCACTGGCTGTTCGCTCTTCCTGTTGGCCTCCTCCATCTTGGGCTCAAAGGTCACCCATGCAGTGAGCCCACCCTGATTGTCTCATTGAATACTGACACCTGTCCCACCTGCCCAGAATTCCCAGTGCCCCTTCCTGGCTCTACCTTTTTTTCCCTCCATCGCACTCATCACCTTCTGATGTACTATGTAATTAACTTTTTGTCTGTCTGGGCAGGGATCTCTGGCTGTTTTGTTCGCTAAAGTTATCGCGAAGGTTTAGAACATAAAGTATGTGGCACAGAGTAGACGCTCAATAAACGTTCGTTGAAAGAATGCATGAGTGATCAAGTCGGGGAGCAGTATCAGTGGATAGCCCTGCAGCCAGCCCTGGGTTTCCAGGTCTCTCTCCCATCTCCAAAGGGCCCCAAAGAATGTCGAGTCCCAACAATACCCCCCACCAGCCCCTCTAGATCTCATTGCAGCTCTTCCCCATCAGATGCCCAAGGACCAGTCTTGCTCACCCTTCTCCTCTTCCTCTGCCAAAGAGAAATAGTCCACCCCACTACTTTCCAGGGAGCAGGGTTTCATCTCTGACCTCCGCCCCTGGAGCTGCCCCAAGACCTTCCCAGGCATTGGTCTCTCGTGGAGGTCTGGGCTGCAATCCTACTTCTCATTCTCTCCCGTTTGGTGTTGGGCCTCTTTGTCCTCTATTACTTGCAAAAGTAAGGGCCCAGCCCAGCTGATCACTGTGCCTAAGGCCTCTTGACTCTAAATGCCTGTGGGCTGCCCCCCCCCCCGCCTTCAGAATGGGCCCCACTTTTTTCTCTAATCCCACCTCACCAACCCAG